AGCAATGCTCACGGCTCCAGCCAGCAAGAGTTGGGGTAGCAGCCCCCACCCTCTCTCCCCACACTGGGGACAAAAGAGAACTGGAGAAGCCAGACAGAGGGAGCTGGTCAAGCCTTTCCAAAGGGCACAGCCCAGGTCTCCACCATTCTCTCCCCATATGTGTTCAACCCTTAAACACTTTGCTAAGCATTACAGGAGTTCCTTCTGCTAGAAGTGGCCAATCAAATGCCCCTGGCCTTGAATCTTGGTCCATGGCAACATTCCTTGCTTTTGGAGAAGGTGGGGGGTCCAGAAGCTAAGTGTAACCTTCAGCCAAGTCATATATCCTCTCACTAGACCTCACAATAATCATTCCAGGTGGTATCATTCTTACCCATTTTACAAAGGTGAGGTTGACCCTGTGTAATAGTCAGGGTAGGCTTGGTTATGCTGCTATAACACACAGTTCTAAACATCTCCTAACACAGTAGTTTACCTCTCACTCCCACTCATGGGGGTTGGTGAGGGAATCTGCTCCATGCAGGTCACTCAGGGATTCAGGCTGATTGAGGCTCTGCTCTCTGGAACAGCGGCCTCTGCCAACTCCCTGGCAGGGGAAGACACACATGGAGGTGCATACTGGCTCCTTTAGAATTTGGCACGATCCTCCCAACTAGAAAGGTGCTTAGAAGTCTGAGGAGCATCTGGGCTGTCTGAGGATCCCCCAGTCCCCTAGATTGGGAAGTGGGAGCGAGGCTTAACTGAAGCATGTCTAATGTCAAAGTCCTTGCTGCAAGCCCTGCCTTATGCAGCTTCCCTGCCAAACCACTGTGAAAACATGTGAGCTGTGTGGTAATGTGCAAATTCCAGGGGTGTCAACACCATGACCCCCAGATACTCTCATACACTGCCTCCTTAGCCCGTCCCAGGCAAAGAAGGCTCTGCGAACCAGGGGCCCTGTGAGGCCAGGGGACAGTGGCCTCCCGCCCTTCTAGCCTGCTCACTGTGTCCCTGCTGAGTCCCATGGCTCTCAGCTGCCTTCAGGACCCCCAGTTCAAAGAGTCTTTTTCATCCCATGGAATCTGGAGCCTGGTCCTCCTCGTCCAAGGCAGCACCTGCCAGGTTCCTCACTGGCAGCAAGCAGCCTTGCTAACAGCCTTGCTAATCCGATAATTACCTGCTTCTAGGAGAGAAGCTGTTAATTGAAAACTCCACCCCCTCCTTTAACTGCCTGCCTGCCTCTGGCTGGCTAGGCTTCCCTGGGTTCTCTCCAGGCCCATAGCCCTTGGTTCTCTAACTTTGGTCTCCTGACTTCTTCCTGATCAATAAGGGTGTCTGGCTGCCTCTGCAGTGCTCGTTACTGGGGTTGCCAGGTGAGAATCCGGGGCTACACTCCCTACCCCGCAGCTAACGGCCTCTCTCCTGCCTGGCCCACTGTGGGAGCAAGGAAGGCACTTAAGGCCATTTGCCCCAGAAGTTAACGGGGAGGTACTGGGCCAGTGGGAAGATTCCACGGGGGTGGGGGGAGGGGAGAGGGGGGTGCAGATTTTACTGAAACCAAAGGCTGAACTGCTCCAGGTCAGAGCTGGCCAGAGGGCTCGGCTACCTGGAGGGGCTGCACCACTTCCTGGAAGGCTCCAGCCTGCCTCTAAGTCTCAGCCCTGCCCAGAGGATTTTCTGACCTCAGTCTTTGAGTCTGGACACACAAGGGCTCAAGGTGGCCCTGACTTTGTTCACCACTTCCCTCCCAGACACATCACCAGATTCACCAGGCACAGATAGAATTTGGCAATGCCAACAATCTGAAGAGTGAAAAAAGTGAATTTCAGAAAAATGAGGTCAATATCCCATTTTCCAGTAAAAATCTATGAATGTTGTATACATGTGATTATAAACACCTTTTCTAAAAGGTCTGAGACAAAGCCCACCAAATTCTTAAGAGCGGCTACTTCTAGAGAGTGGGATAGGAGAGGGAGAGGGAGAAGGAGGACTCACAATGGATCTTTATTGTTTGGATTATTTCACTAGAAAGGGAGCAGGCGAGCCTTAGTCCTCAATGGCCCTATGATCCTGGACAAGGCGCTTGGCCACTCTGAGCCTCAGTGCCTCATCTGTAAGATGGAGGCGTCTCCCACGTCCCCTTTTACTCTATATTAGGACGTGTGGTTGAATGCAACCTAAACCAACCCAGCTTGTATAAGAAAAGGGGAAGAGTTTCCCGGGACACAAGGATTTTTATGCATCCAGACCTTAGGCAGCAGAGAGAATCCTGGGGAGGGCTCTGCACCTCTCCTTACTGTGTGCCTGCTTCCCGTAAGGTCCTCTGAACAGGCTGCACCATGGTCAAGCCATTGTGACCCCTGTGACCCACATGTACAGGCCTCCTGGAGTCACAAGGCCTGTAGCAACAGGAGAACCACTAAAGAAGAAGAAACAGCTAATTCCTGCCTTAACTGATTAGCCGACCTGGCGACATTCCACCACTGTGGTCTGTCCCTGCCCCACCCTAACTCATCAATCCACCTTGTGATATCGTGCCTCGTGACCTCTCCCCACCTCGTGACTATGTTCCTTGTGACATTCTTCCCCTGCCCGAAAAAAAATTGCCCCTAACTGTAACTTCCCACTACCTACTCCAAACCTATAAAACTAACTCCACTCCCACCAGCCTCCACTGACTCTCTTTTCGGACTCAGCCCGCTCCCACCCAAGTGAATAAACAGCCTCGTCGCTCACACTTAGCCTGTTCAGGGCGTCTCTTCAATCAGATGCATGAAGAACACGTCCTTCTCTGTCTTTGAAAAATGATCTGTCTGCTTCCACAATCCCACAGTGCAAAACACAGCAGCCAGGTTTGCACCTTGTGGGCCCAGCCCTCTAGAGAGGTGTAGGTCCTACTTCTACAGTCCTGGGCAGGGATCTTACTGGCCAGATTGGTGACTGCATGGAGCCTGACAGACTGGGTCACGTGGGTAACAAGTAGCCCACTGTTTCAGTGGCTGAAAAGAGTGAAGGTATTTCCGACATATGCAGTATGTCCGCTGAGTCAGCAGGAGGGCTCCGGGCATCCCAGTCACTCGGTGACCCAGTCTGACAGAGGTTTCATCTCAACAGGCGTGTCCGGGATCTCAGAGATGGGGAAAGAGAACATGCAGGCCCACACACGGGCTCCTAAGGCTTCTGCCTGAAAGTGACATTCCACCCACTTCCACCCACATTTTGTTGGGAAGAGCCACTCACATGGCCATGCTTGAATTGAAGTGGATGGAGACGTCAACTCCCACCATGCGCCTGGCGTAAACATCTGTGAACAGCCCGGATGACTACCGTAATGCCACCTCACCAAGAGCCCCTGCCCACTCCGTTTCACCTGGCCCATCGCTGCAGCACTTCCCACCGTGCAGCTGAATGTTGCCAGGGAAGGAGGGAGAGATTCTGTGGACGGTTCAGTTTCTAGCTGTTGCTATCTGGCTCCTTTTCTGTGGCAATAAATACATAAAAATTACCATGGCAGAGATGTAGAAGTCCCGCAGGAGGCTCTCTGTGAATCCCAGAAAGTTGCCGAGCCCAGCCTCTGGGCTTCAGAGTCAAAGTAGGGAAGTTGTCGTCCCAGTTCAACCCCTCCCTTCCTCTAGCATGAAAGATGCACTTTTGAGGGTGACAGCTGGGTGGGGGTGAGGTGGAACTGTGGCACCTTTAGCATTTTCTACCTGAACAAAACTGCGGCCCCTGTCTGCCTTGGTGGCTCTCCCTGGCTGCTTTGGTGGCTCTCCCTGGCTTTGCTTTCAGAGACATTACCTCCCTGTGGTCATTTAGGAGGAAGATGTGCACTCGGGATCCGGAGACCTGTGTTCAGGCTCTGGCTCTATCGCTAACGGGCTGGCTCTTGACCTAGGCAGGCCAGTGAACCCCTCCAGAGCCTCCATTTCCTCATCTGTAAATGGTGTTATCATAACGTCTGCATCCCCAGCGAGCCCTCTGGATTCTCTGAGGACCGGCTGTTATGGGGGCATCACGGCTCTTTGTCCAGGTGACACATGGGAAATATGAGGGCTTATCTCTATGCTGCTGTGGCCTTCTTGGGATTCTCCCTGAGGACTCGCCTGCCCTGCGTTGCTCTTGTCCCTGCAAACGGCCCACCCTGTCTCCTGCCTCCCCACCCAGACGCGAAGCAGTCGCTCTGCCAGCTCTCAAGGACTCATCTCTGAGATTTCAGACAGAACAATTTCCTCTCCCTCTCACGCCTGCCTGTCCGGGAAAATCGCGCAACCCACACAGGCCCCCCCTACGTGCACCCACACGCCCCACAGCCATTGTCTCCCGCACCAGCCTGCAGAAAAGCAGAGTGGGGCATGGGAGGCGGATGCGGAGGCTACAGGAAGGGGGGTGACACCCCCAACCCTGAGGGTCTCCAAGTGTCAGGCCAAGGGTTGACATGGACATGGGGAGACAGGAGCCAGGCTCCTTCCAGATCCTCCCACAACCTGGGTTTCAGCCACCCTCAGCCACCCTGCCGAGGCCACAGGCGCTGCACAAGGCCACAGGCAAACGTCCGGCTGAGGACTGAGGTGGAGGCTGGATCCCACAGCCCATTGGTGGCAGAGACTGGATGAGAACGCCCAAGTCCAGGGCTCTTTCTGCACTGCTTCCCAGAACTTCCTGCCCCAAGGGACCTGCAAGCCGGACGGGACAGGGCAGGAGGTACAGAGAGAGCCTGCTCCAAGGGAGAGCCTCGGGACACAGGGAGTTTCATTCCTCCCTCCCAGCACGAGCCATGCCCATGCCGCTCAGGCCTCAGCCACAGGGCACTGCCTAGCCCTGCTTGGGCCAGGGCTCACCATCCCTTAGGGACAGCAGGCCCCGCCTCCCAGACACTACCCCATTGCAGGGGAAAGCCTTGGGGTCCCCATAAAATGTGGGCATCCCCAGACAGAGAGTAAGTCTCCCCAAGATGGGAAGATTTGCCTAGTGAGTGGCCACCCTTGATACCCTGCCCTCCCGTAGGAGCCAGGATCTGGAAGATCCCCCGAGGGGCCGACGTGGTTCCCTCTCCTTAGACCATCCAGGCCCGCAGGCCTGGAGCTAATGGTGGGGAAAGGGGGCTCCAGGAGCTGAGGAGGAGCAGAGCCAGCGGATGGAGGCGGAAGTCCGGCAGATCTCAGGTGCATTTTCTGCAGTGATAAAGACCTTCTGCTCAGCAGCTAGCTTCCACAGGCACTTCTCCCCCACGTGACACCACACCAGGGCCCACAGGAGAAAGCCCGGAGTAGGCGGAGGCACTGGGTCCCCTCTCTTCCCCAAACACACCTGTCTGCGGGGGGCACTGTCCCCTCGCAGAGACTGGGGGTGGAGGCTTAGCTGCAGGGGGCGGGGTGGCTCCGGGACAGGAGAGCCACCCAAGAGAAGGCCAGGGCTCTGGGAGAAGAGGGGGTCCTACTGCCCTCCCGGAACAGAGATCCTGGCTCCATGAAGCCGTCTCCACGGCTCCCACAGCTGCCTCCTCCTGCCCCTCCTTAAACTCCCACACCTGTCTCCAGCTCCCGCGCCATGAGGTCCGCTCCACGACCACAGGAGCCAGACAGAGGCCGGGGTAGCCTCGGGCAGACAGACACTTACGTGGGTGTTCACCCAGAGCTAGACCTCAGGGAAAATAGGATTTGCCTGAGGGCTGAGAATCAGGCAGTCCCAGCACATCCAGGACCATAAATATGCCATGCTCTTTGACCCACTGATTCCACTGTTTGGAATTCCTCCCAAAAATATAATTGCAAAGGGAAAAATAGCTATACGTGCACAGCTGTTTATAGCAACATTATTTATCATAGTAAAAAAGTCGAGTCAGCCAAAATACTTTGCAAGTGGCGGGAGGGGGAACTGTGGGTCAATAAGATGGGATATTTATTATACATCCAAGAAAAATGGTAAACTTGTAAAATTACTCATAAAATAATGTTAAGGGCAGTGAAAGGACAAACTTGCACATATTTGTTCAGGCAGCAGAGGATGACTGAGCGCCCCGTCTGGGCTACGCAGCTGCTCCATGTGCCAGAGAGATCCCGTGAACAGGACCAAGTCCCTGCCCTCATGGAGGGAACATTCCAGAAGTGTGCCACAGGGTCAAAGGTGAATCCAAACCACAGGCAAGTACTTTCCCAAGGCAGGGAGATGGACAGAACCGAGTGTGGTCCACTGTGGGGTCCATCCTGCCTGGGCTGGGTGGGTCACCAGGGAGTGGCCCCACAGAGGTCTGCAGGCTCCTAAGGAAGGAGCCAAACGCAGGATCAAAGCGAGGGGTGCCTGGCCAAGGGCAGTGGGTCCTGCCAGACCACGGGGTCTTCTCCCTACAGGAGGGAAATTTGGCAGGCGGCTTTTAGGAATCCCATGAACCTTTGGGGTTTGTGGATGAACCAGGGGAGGAGCAGTCCCCGAGAGTGTGAGCAGAGTTTTCTGCTAACCTAACAAGTTCGGAAGGGTCACAACTGAGCGGCTGGGGGTCCATCCTGTCCCCAGCATGGCCAGATCTGCAAACAGGAGACATCATATGGTGGCCTGGGAGGCAAGGGCATCTGAGTCAGAGGTACAGGTGTAATCTGAAGGTGGACTGGCCCCCATCCTGCCGGCTCCCTGTGGTCCAGAGTTGGAGAAAGCCCCTTGGACCAGAGCCTTCCCACACTTGGTCCTGTGTCAGGTAGGAGATTTGCAGGAGGCCGTTTCTGCTCTTCCAGAGCCCAGACGGACTTCCCTGGGGTGGTGGGAGCCAAGGCATGGAATCGCAGTCGCCTCCCAGGTGCAGGGCCCTGGGTGGAGCTGCTGGCTGCAGCCAGGGACAGGGAGCAGAGATGCCCCTCTGCCAGCCTGCCCCGCCCCAGGCAGTGAAGAAACTCCAAGCTCTGGGCCCGTGGGAGGCACCAGGCGAACAGAGGAGTTGGCAAGCTAAACATGCTATTAGCAGCGATGGAGAAGTGACGATTATCTGCACAGCTGTCAGAAGCAGCTCTCCGCCGCCTGGCACTAGCACCTGGGGAGGGGCTGCCACTCATCAGACTTCACAGAGATGCCCCAGACTGGGAAAGAAAGACCGGCAAGCTGGACATTCTGTGCCACCACTCGCTCGTCCTTAGCTGCAGGGATCTCGCCCTTCATCCAGAGGCTGAGACCTGGAAGCGAGGCCCACCTCCGCACCTGCCCCGGTAGCTGGGCCTTCGTTCCTCAGACTGTAAGCTGGGGATGAAAGTAACAACACCTTTGGTGGCGGAATTGTTGGGAGGGACCAGTGGGATATTTTGTCTGAAAGCACCTTGCAAATGGTAAAGGGCTATGGGGTCACTGCTATTACAATTCTTCTATCAAAAATCTAATCTTCAGGGCTTTCACTGTCTGTTTCATTCACACAGAATGAAATTGAGGCTCAAGAGGTTACACGATTTGACCAAGTCACACAACTGCAAACAAGGAGGTGTGGGTTTCCAGGATCGAAGCCAGGAGGAAGCTCAAAGAGCATCCAGCCCCCATGCTGTAAAAGGGATTCAAGACCCAGAAACAGAAGGTGATTAGCCTCGCCGCAGGACACAGGGCAGACAGCACTCAAGCCCAGCTCTGCTCGCTCTGCTGGGAGCACTTGCCAGGCCACTGTGGATCTGGGCCTCGTCCTCAGCTCGGGGTGGCTGCAGGAGCATGCTGAGGAATGAACCCATGCCACAGCACTGAAGATGTCCCCACCATCCCTGCCGCAGGCTCTCCACCCAGGTCTCTTCATCTCAAAGGGGTTGTCACAGAGGCCCAGGGCTGTGGCCTGGAGGAACACACTCCATCTTCCTTGACATCTAGCCCATGTATCACTCTGATGGTAGAAAGACGGGTTCCAGAGTCTGCTCAAGTCACAGTGTGCAGAGCAGCGAAGGATCCTGCTTGGCACAAGGCAGGGGCACCTCTCAAAGCCTCATGCGCTGCCTGGTGCCCTTCACACCCCAAGGCCTTCCAGGATGCTTTGAATTTGGTCTTCTCAGCCCTGCCGCTGCCCCACTTGTGGGAAGAAAGATGGACTGGGAGGTGAGAGGCACTGCCCACCTGACCACCCACCACCCGTTGCCTCTGCCTTTTGAAATCACTTTCATGGGCAGAGAGGTGGGAATGCTGATCGCACCGTGTGGGAGGGACTTGGAGGGTGGGGAGGTGACTCACAGGACAGTGGGAGATAGGAAGCAGCTCCAGGGCCTCCCTGATAGTGGAAGGGAAGGGTGCTGGTGACTCAGGGACAGCTGGGGAGGGGTGCGTGGGGAGGGAGACAGCTGGGGAGGGGTGCGTGGGGAGGGAGCTCATTCCCCCTGACTCTGTGCCCTGCATGCCTGGGGAGTGACCTCCTGCGGTGGACCCAGCTCTTGCCCCTGTGGGGCCGTCTTCGCCCTCAGCTTGCTTCCCAGCAGTAGCCAGGCACCCAGTAGCTGCATGCTGAGTGAATGCCAATCTCGCCCGCTGCCGCCCAGCTGTGCAGACCTTCAGCAGACTGAGTGCTCCTCTGCCCTCACATCCAGGCCTGTAGATGGAAGCAGAGCCCGACTCTGAGAGCCGATTGCCCATCCTGCAGCTGTGAACGTCGCAGCTTCCAGCAGGTTCTTGCTGCAGACTTGCTGAGAGGACTGAGTGCTGTGGCAGGCCACCCCAGCCTGCTGGGCACCCCTCCGAGATGGCCCCCACAAATAGTAAATAAATGCCCTACTCCCAGGCCCGCTTGCTTCCAGTGCTCCTTTCACCCCTGCCCTGCACTGAGCCCCCTGACTATGGCTCCCTGATTCATTCTCACCAACACCCGGTGTCCCCAGAACGCTACACACTGGGCCCTGGTGGGGCACAAGGGAAACAGCACATCTCAGACTGGGGGTTTTCAAACCCAAAGAGAGTCTCCCACCTGGAAAGAGGCAAAAGAGAGGCAGACTCACAGGGTTGAACTGCGTCTCCTGTGCCCGTAACACTCAGCCCATCCCCTACCACCTCCTCCCAGGCCACCTTCGCTGACACCAAGCCCATCCATCACCAAAGTCTCCCCAGAGCCCAACTACTGTCATCCCCAGCCCTGCCTCAGCCAAGCCACTGCCCCCTTCACTTTCTGTCCAGGAGACCCAGTCAGCCAGTCAGCTCTGTCCTGGATGGAAATGCAGCCACAGGGAGGAGAGCAGGGGCTCAGTTTTCTTCCCCTCCTCATCCACCCATCCATCCATTGGTTCATCCATCTGTCCATCTATCCACCTATCCGTCCATCCATCCATCCATCCATTCATCTATCCACCCATCTGTCCATCTACCATCCATCTATTAATCTATCCATTCACTCATCTGTCTGTCCATCTATCCATCCATCCATCTATCCACCAATCCATCCATCCATCTGTCTATCCATCCATGCATCCATCCACCCATTTATTCATTCCTCCATCTATTCATTCATCTGTCCATCCACCTATCTGTCTATCCATTGATCCATTCATTCACTCATCTGCTTGTCCATCTGTCCATCCATTCATCCATCCATCCATCTACCATCCATCCATTCATCCATCCATGTATTCATATGTCTATCCATCTATGCATCCATCCATCTATCTTTCTATCTATTCCTTCATCCATTCATTCATCTGTCCATCCAACTATCCACCTACCATCCATTCATTCATCCATCCATCCATTCATCTGTCTACCCATCTATGCATCTACCCAACTATCTGTCCATTCCTCCATCCATTCATTCATCTGTCCATCCATCTATCCATCTACCATTCATCGATCGTTCATTCATCTATCTGTCCATTTATCCATCCAAACATCTGTGCATCCATACATCCACCCATCTATCCTTTCATCCATCCATCCATCCATCCATCCATCCATCCATCCATCCATCCGTCCATCTGTTCATCCATCCATCCATCCATCTGTTCATCCATCCATCCATTCATCTGTTCATCCATCCACACGTCCATCCATCTAATCTCAGAATACTTAATGATGTCACCCTGTGCACATGGGTCTCCTGGAACATCAGCTCTAAAGGGGGAAGGATTACTGCTGCATTTGTTCCCTGTGGTATCCTAGTGCCTAGAAGTTGGCACAAAGTCAGTGTTGAATACATATTTCTTGAATGTCAAATGACTGAATGAATGAATAGATTCTTCACCTGGAGAAGGGGAGTAGAGCCCACCAGCACTCATCTTCAACTCTGGATGATGCAGGCCGAATCTCAGGCCATCCAGAGGTACAGCCCCAAGTCCAGGGAAGGCCATGACTTGTCGAAGGCCACCTGGCCAGGTAAGAGCAGGGCCAGGTGCCCGGCCCAGGGATTCTTCGCCCAGATTAGTGTTTTCCCCCATTAACTACTAAGAGCTTTCTCTGCTGGCAGTCCCTGGGAGCAGCAGCAGAAGCCTAGAGCCCGGGGTGGAGCCAGTGGCCAGAGTCAGGAGCCGAGACTGGGAGCCTCTGAGGAGCAAGAACCTGCCTGAGCAGGGTTTGGATATTCCCAGCAGGACGAAGAGTGTGCGCTGGCTGGCAAAGCTGTCCCAGCTGCCCAGAGGAACAGCAAGTGCTCTGCTGGCTTTGCAATCCCAGCCCCAGGGCAGGATGAACAGGCTCTGGCCTGGAATGCACCAGCTGGGCAGCTCTCCAAGCCCAGCCAAGCCCCTAGGCCTTTATACCCCTTCACCTGTAGCTCTGGGGGCCCCAGGAGCCAATGCTCACTTCAACCCCAGCCAACATGGCCTGGGATCCAGTCGGGTCTAGGCTCTGACCTCAGCTCTGCCGCTGGCTGGCTGTGTGGCCTTGGAAAGCTCACTTTTCCTCTCTGCCTCAGGCAAGCTCAGCTCTTAGCCTCACTCACGACCTCGGAGAAATGCATGTTCTTGGGCCTGTCACTAGAGATTCTGCTTCAACATGTCTGCAGAGAACTCAGAAATAAGCAGTTTACAAATGCTGCCACTCAAGCATCTGGGGAAACAGGCTGAATGAGGGCAGAGGGCCCCACGGCTGAAGCCACCGCATGGCATCTGGCTCTGGGCCACCTGAACACTGCCCAGCCTCAGTCCTCTTACTTGCTCAATGAGGATGCCCAGGGAATCCTGTGGGTGTTGGGGGGGCCTGTGGGAGACGGTGTGGTGACAGCACTTGGCCATACCGTACAGGACCCCAAAGGGTACAGGGCTCAGGTGTGTTGGGATCCGTTTCTGCTGTGAGTAACAGCACCTGAATACCATGGAAATTGATTTCTTTCTCCTGTCTGTCTGTGGGAAGCCCAGAGCACTCACTGGCTATGCCCTGCAAGGGAAGGGGTCTCAGAGGTGGAGGGAGCCCCCACCCCACAGCCCCAGCCTCCCAGGCAGCCTAGGGTGGGAGCAGGTGCGTGCAGAAGTCCTGCTTTCTCCCTCTGCCTGCACTTTTCAGCTGTGTGTGGAGCCTTGCTGGGCCTCAGTTGCCTCGTCTGTGAAGTGGGTGTAGTGACAGTGTCCGCTCTAGGAGGTGGTCACTTTGAGGATTCGACGAGGTCATCTGTGCAGCGTGTCTGCTCAGGGCCTGCATGTGGCACTCCACAGGGCACAAGGCCAGCTCTGCTCCTCCAGGCTGCTGCAAAGTGCTGCTGGTGCAGGGGCCTCTCCCTGGGGACTGAGGAAAGGCCAGAATCCATGAGGCTGTTGCTCTGGTCCTGCTGCCTGTGTCGCTGATCCATCCTCAGCCTGAACCTCAGGGGCTGCAGCTCAGACACAGCTCTGCTGCTGCCTCCTAGGACCAGAGTGAGGACTCGAAGGGGAGGTGCTGGGAGGAACCACGGACATCAGTGCCTCCTTCTCAACCAGACGCCCTGGGCCCTGAGCCCTAATGGTTCTCCCTCCCACTGTGGCCTAAGTGTCTTGGCATTCAAGGCTCTGGCAGTTACGGGGATTACATCTCAACATGAGATTTGGAGGGACCATCCAAACGATATCACACAGTAAGACATGACGGGTGTTTATACACTTTTTTGGACAATTTGTTTAATGACAGCCAAAAGCACCTTAACAAATACAAAGGCTCAGCACTATCTGGGGAGTCTTTCCAGCCTCATTTTCCACCACTGCCCTTTTGATGCCTCTCTGGGTGAAACATGTGTTGCTTTCTCTTTGCTTTGGCTGCTAACTGCCAGGCCCCTCTAGTCTCCTCGAATTGGTGAACTCCTAGTCATCCTTCAAAGCCCAACTCAAATGCCCCCACCTCGGCAAAGGCTTCTGAGCTCCTCTAGGCAGACTCAAAGCCCTGTCTTGCTGCCTTCAAATGTCTTCACTGTGGAATTTCTCACATCATTCGCCAGCCACTTGTCTGCTGGCCACTCCACTGCACTGTGAGTCCTTGAGTGCTTCAGCCTTTCTCTGTGATCTGTTATCCCCTAGCATTGCACCTGGTATGCTGCAGCGCTGGTCAGTGCTGCATATTGCATTACTGAAAACACTGCTTCGTCCAGGCCTCCTGGAACCTCGGCTCTCCTGATGTTCTCGCCCAGCTGGGCAGGAAGGTGGTGCATCTCTCATGTCCCAGGGGAACGAGCTCTCAGCAAGCGCACGGTATGGGAATAGGCTCCTGCTGCACCACACTGCCCCTGCTCTCTTCAACCCAGGTGGGATCCCTGACCCAGAAGGGAAAAAGGACACCCAAGGTCGCCAGGCTGCTTGGAGCAGAGTGGGGCCTCCAGAATTGGGTAGGGAACACTGGGTGTGTTTCAGAGCTGGCTTGACAGCTGTCCAAATTGACACAACAGTGCAGGAGGCAGGCGCTGTGGGAGTGGAGAGAGCTGTCAGGTGCTGAACAATGCCACCTGCCAGGCACTGAGGAACACAGGAGATGGGGGAATGGGGGGAGAGGGAGGGGAGCTTGGCACCGGGAATAGGTCTGGGACGCCTCCCCCAAGAACCCTCCCCCTACAAGCCCATGTCCCTCAGCCTCAGGAACCAGAGGGGCCCTGGGTGAGGGGGAAGGAGCGAGAGAGCTGAGTCAGAGCTCCCCCTGGGCAAAGGTGTGGACTGCTGGCTCAGGATCCACCAGGGCTCCTTTGAGAAGCAAACAACGACCCGGACTTAGAGGACTTTGGAGACTACGATGGTGCTTTGTCTGTCTGCGGGGCTGGGACCGGTGCCAGGAGTGTCATGCATTGCTGGGGAGCTGGGCCAGCCTCCTGGGCTCCCACCATGCTCCTCTGACAGCAGACAGCAGGATCAAGTAACCACTGTGTCCCCTGAGCCTTCCTGGAGCCCCATGGAGCTGGGATCCAGGTGCCGAGATGCCCTGGCCGCAGCACACACGCTGAGAAGTCCGGGAAGCCTCCTAGGAAGGCAAGCTGCAGGCCAGAGCTTGCCTTCCTAAGACCTGAGCTCCCGGGCAGGGTGTGCAGGGGAAAAAAGGCCACAGGCTGCAGCCAGGAGTTGCTTTGTTTTTCTTTATTATTGGAGTTTAAAGATTTTTTTAATTGTCCCAGAACATCTCTGTTTGTTAGAAAAAAAAAACCCGGAAGTATTACAGGCAGTTCTAATATGTCTTTTAACCACCTAACCCTCCCACAAAACACACTCCTGTTTCTAGAGGTAACGGCTTCAGCTAGTACTGTTTAATAAAAATAATACATGTCACCCTCCCAAAAAAAATACACTTCAAGCCATACCAGATGTCTAAGATAAAATGTTTCCCTTCCCCCAACAATCATGAACAATTTCTCGGGTA